TCAGGTTAGAATTTTGGAAATTTGTTTTCTGATTACCATCAAAATGGAAATGGCCAAGATCCATTTTTCTTTCTGATTTATTATGGATATCATATTTAATATGAAATATGTTTAAATTACAGCATCCTGTATTGAGGCAGCTCATTATTGTTACATGTAAAATTTTAAGTAGTATAAGGAAATACTGGCATTACACGAATGAACCCAAACAACAACAAAAAGTATAGATGGTAATTACGGAGATTTATGAAATGAATGGAGCTTGTTGCAAACTGATTTTTCAAGGCAAGAAAAAATGAAATTGTACTTTTCAGGTGGTTAGGAATGCTGTAGTTTATTTCCTTGTGTATAAAGTCTCTTTCTAGAGACTCAACTCAACCATATACCACTCCACTATAATTACTCATGTAAGAACCTCTCTTTTTTAATGACCAGAGAAATTTACATAAGTCATTGATATTGATAAAGATTAATGAAACTAAAGAGTTGTTTATTCTCTATCTGGCAATAATTTATTGAAATCCAGAACCTCTTTATTATTGTCAAGCCTAAACTTGCACATTTATATTAAGTACAGCAGGGTAATGGATCAGCTGTTTCACAGAAGTCCTATCTGGAGATCCTATTCACTGTATAGTTTTTGTTGTTTGAACAGTTATTCCAATAAAGAAAACTGAAACATCTGATTGCCTCTGCTATGACCAGTTGTGCTGTATCTAGTAACCGTAATAAAATATTAAGTAAAAAAAAAACTGTAAATCTCTTTATTCTACATTGCCTAAATCATAATGCATATTTTTCCAATAATATTTTTCAGTGGTATTTCAAGTACAAGAAAAGTAGTTAGATAAGAGGACATTAAATACCAGATTTGTGTAATATATCCTATGAAGGTTAGAACATTGGAGAAATATAAAGAAGAGTTTTTACTGCTGACTCAAACATTTGTTAACTGAGTAACTTGGTGTGCTCTACTTAACCTCATGGAGTTTCTTTGTTAAAGTAGGTTACATAATACTACCTATTTTGCAGGTCTGTCACGAGAAATAGAGAAAAACACAACGTAACTCCAGCACTTGGGAGGCTGAGGCAGGAGGATCACAAAGAGTTCAAGCCCAGCCTGGGCTACTAAGCAAGTTCAAGGTAGGTTTGCATAACATAGTGAGACTCTGTCTCAAAAAACAAATAAACAAACAAACTTAAGGAAGAAAATCAACAAATTGTAGCAAACACATCAAAGTCACATGAATATTATAAAATTCCATACAAAATTTTTAAAAGGTGTGCTCTAGAAAAAACACAAAGGAATGGCCAGTGATGTCCAGAGAAGTAAATAGAATAAGGAAAATAAAACATTGAATTTAAATATCAAAATACAGCAGTTCTGGGAAGTGATAAAACTAAAAGTAGTCACAGGGAGGATACCTTAGATGGGAGCTAACTAAGACTACTGAGCAGATGGCTGGATCACCTCCCAGGAAATGCTGGTCCAGTGAGCAAGGTGACTGTACTTCAATTCAGAGCATTATGCTGAGGGGAAAATAGAAGCTGCCAATGAGTAAATAGGGATTGAGGGATTTTGTTTCCTGGAAAGGAGTAAATCAAGACCGGGATTTTGATTTTAAAGTATACATAAACATAGCTGCACCTATACATCTGTATAAACTGTATGAATGAATGATAATCATTGAATAATGGTATAATGGTAAGCATTTAAAATTTCTAAGGTTTTCTTTCTGGGTTTGTTTTTTTTGGGGGGGATGTATGTGTGTGTGGTGTTTATTTATTTGTTGGATTGCTTATTTCGGATTAACCCTAGGCCCTTCAACTTAAGCTACTTTTAAAATTTTGTACCATCAGACAGGGTCTTTCTAAGTTATGAGTTTGGTCAGGGATTCAAACTTGAGACCTGCTTTGGCCTCCCAGGGTGTTAGGATTACAGGCTGATGGCCCCTCACCTAGGTCTAAATATGGTTTGGTTACCGTTATATACAATCTTTCTATAAGAACTGATCTCCATATTAACTAAGAAATCAATCCTAATATACTCTTGAACAGTGTTCTGCAAATTGACATAGGTAAGGGAATTCTCACGGGGGCAGTCTGGGCCCAGGTTCATTTTCTAAGCTTACACTTCATGTTGTACCCATGATACCTTCCTTTCCTGGATGCCTAACTATTCTAAGCTTTGATAACTTCATATTAATATATCACTCAATCTCTATAGACATTTACTTTGGTTTATTGTTGTTGTTGTAGTTTATTTAGAGGGAAAAGTCAAAACAGAAAGAAGGGTAGAAATAATTCAAAATTTCAAAAAAAACCAGTAAGAAATCACTAGTTGATAAATTACATATTGTTATCTTAGATGTAGTTGCTGAAGACACAAAATCAAAGCATAAAAAGTGGACAATGAAACAATGAAAGTACAAACAATTCTGTTTGATGAACTAACAAAAACTTAATAGTATGGTTATCTATCTTGCACACTTAAATATACATATAGTTATATCCTTTAGAGCACTACTTTCTTTCCATTTCATTATCACTATATCTATTATACATTTTGGATCTTGTTACTCTTTCAGTTTTTTACTATTATTTTGTACACGAGAGACAATATGATATTTACAAATGTGAGTCGGATTTATTTTACTTATGAGGATAGTCTCAAGTTTCCTCCATTTACCTGTAAAAGCCTCATAAACTTTTACTTTGAATAGATATTATCTAAACAGATGATATGGGTTATTTTTTTACTTTTTCTTCCTCTTTTCCCTATAGAGGTTATTTTTAAATGAAAAATTTCAAATAAAATTCCAGGTTTATAATTTCTCTTGATTAAAAGAAATTGATCCACAATAAGTGTGATTCAAAGGTGGCCAAAAACTGATAGACACTGTAATCTACACGTGGGCTTTACCTTTTCCCTCTACCATAATCATCACTTCCTTTAATGCCTTTATCTGACCTAATATTTTCTTACTTTTATGACTACTGGACATATTTTCTGTGGGATACACATCATGTAAATATACAAGCATGATAAAAATGTAAAAAACCACAAAATTTAGAAGTTTAACCATTTTCCTCCTGTTTTATTAGGCAAATGTCTGAATCTCTCTATGCTAGCTTTCCAATACTGTGACAATACAAAAATACAAAACAACAACAAAAAAACCCTAGGAAAACAATTTAAAGAAGAAAGAACTTATTTTGTACCATCAGACAGAGTCTTTCTAAGTTATGAGTTTGGTCAGGGATTCAAACTTGACGCCTGCTTTGGCCTCCCAGAGTGTTTCAGGTTTTAGTCCATGGTCACCTAACTTTATGGCTTTTAGGCCTTCAGTGAGATAGAAACATCTTGGCAGAAGGTGTCAATAGAAAAAGCTGATGACTTCAAAGCAAGCAGCAGCACAGCAAGTAAAGCAGAGGGTAAGGGTTACCTTAGAAGTCCCTCCTTTCATGAGATCCCATCTCCTAACAGCTCACACAGCAATAATACTAGTGCACTCATGACCTGATCACTTTCCAAAACCTCATTAGCTGACCTGATATGGAAAACATTTAGATCCAAACCATAACACTTTCAAACTTCATTCTTCTCAATCTAAAGTGAGGCTACTAATAGTACTTACAGTATTGTTACAAATAAGATAATATATGAGAAAGAATTTGAGGTTTAATAATAACTTGTTACTACTTTATGCATTCTGAACACACTAGGAATATAGTGCAAATATGTCAAATCTACCAGCTGAAGCAATCAGGGCTATAGTATGTAGATTAAAAATAAGAGAAAACTCTAAAGAGACAGTTCACTCTCATTGCTCAGGACAAGCTTGGACAGAATTCACCAATTATATTTTCTAAGTATATTTCCCTACATCTGAAATTTGTGTCACAAGAAAATAATGAGTCACAGCTTTAGTAATTCTGCCATTTTCTCAGACCTAAGGAAATGGATCCATAATTTCTCTTTTTATTAGGTATGCCTTTTGAGATCTTTTACAAAGTTCCATTATTTCCACTCTGCAGGGCACACTGTGGCTCCTTGTTGCCTGAGAATACAATCTTAAAGCTCTATGCACCATGGGAGATTTCCATCTGGTTACCGGGTTATTTATTCCCTTCTAAACACCTGACTAACACAGCACTGTGTCTTTTTATGTCTCCTTGTGCTTGAACAACTGTGCTAACTGTCTTGTATATTTTATATCAGGGGTTAGCAACTTTTTCTCTAAAGGGCCAGAGAATAAACACTTCCAGGTTTGCAAGCAATTCAGTCTGTGACTCAACTCCTCAACTCTTTATGACCCAAAAGCAGTCATAACAGCAGCTATACAAATGGGAAAGCTTGGGCTCTGATAAACTGTATTTATGGATATTGGAACTGAAATTTCATATAATACTCATGGGTTGTGCCATACTAACTGCTCTTTGAAGTTTCCCAGCCATTTAACAATGCAAAAACTCTCTTGGCTCAAAAATAAGCAGCAAGCCATTATAAACTTTTGGTTTGCTTTCTGTACGTGAATAGTTAACTTTCCTTTGATTTTTTTTTAATTAGGGTACAACTTTCGTTTAGTAAATCACAGTGCAATATTCTTAAATGCAGAGTGGATTTCGGTGTAATAACACAGAAGTCCAGATGTTAAACATGTCCAATAATGTAACTTGCTTCTTCATATTGTCTTCCAAAAACTACCCTGACCAAAAACTAACCTCTTTTTCTTGTAAAAGTAATGCCTACACTTTCTTTCAATAGGCCTGTATCACAGAAGTGGGCGAATGATTGTGCTATATAAATTTTTACAGGTACAAAAAAATCAGAAGACAAAAATGTATTCTTAAATGAAACTTCAAGGATCATTAGCCATTGGAACCACATAGAAGAATGTCTTTTTTTAACAAAGTGATATAGATAAGAAATGCCAAAAAGCAGTTCTCACTCACATTCATTTTTTTGGCTGGGGCAAGCTGACCATGGGCATCCTTACCTGGGCCAAAGTGAGGGTAGCTTGTTTGCAGGTGCCACACTGTACCCGAAGCTTTCCTGGCTGTACCCTTTGACAGGGGACTTTGCAATAAACATAGAAGCTGTTGTATGTTGTTCTACCTGTGAGGAAAAGAGCATAGAGAAAGCAGCTAATCAGTGCTGGATCAAAATTGAGAAGGAAACTCTTTTTAAAGGTGCATTAGATGAGAATTTTGAAAGTGGAATCCACAGAAACATTTTGGAACATTAGAACAACACATATTCCAAAGCTGATACAACAATTCAATTTAGAAAAATGCAGTTTTATGTTTATAAATTGAAAATTTTTCATTTTCTTGCCAATAGCCCTGTGACTTACTCAGCAAAAAAAGTCAACTGCCATTCAGAGAGTTGGCCAAAGTACATTTGCTGCACACTGAATTACACGCACTATCTGCTGGAGTTTTCAAAAAAGACAAAAAAATTTAGAGGCCACTGCTCTTAAATTTTAGTTCATGCTTCGGTACAGTTTTGAAACCTTCACAGTTTTCCTCTTAAACTCTTAAGTACAGACAGAAAGCAGCCCATTTCTAATGACATAAGGATATCATCACAACCTTCTGAGTTTCAAGGGAGAAACCTTGCCAAGATATACTCACACACAGATAAAACAAGAGGCCTGAATCCAGAGTAGTGTAACAATCGATCAAACTGCCCATGTTCATAAACGGATGCTTTGTATTTTAGTAATGTTCTGTTTACAAAGACAAATGTCATTCAAGTAATACATGTTCAAGATTAAAAGATAAACAAAAATAAATTCATTATCAAAGTTTCTGATCATTTGTCTAATATCAAAAAGCAGATACACTATCCTTTAAATTAGGGATACATTTTGACTTCCTTGTCTGAAAAAAAACAAACTTTATTCAGAAGCATCTATTAGTAAATAACTTTTAAAATTTCTAAGTTTCTAAATTTCTTAATGATTTTTCTCTTTAATCCTTGCCTTACCTTTGCTGGGTAGGAGATAATATAAAGTGTCATGACACAAAAGTTGTTTAAAATTTTACTCACATCATGAGATGCATCTAGAAAAAACAAATGCTTCTATGGATGAAAACCTTTAGCCAAAAATGCTTACTTATAGTCTACTAAAAACAATTTGAACAATATAATTGGAAACAACCTAAGGTTCTAAAGTGCTATACCATTTAATTTATTTCATTAATTTACAGGTGGACCCTTCACATATAGTTTGGACTGTCATTTGTTTAGCCATCTCTATTAATATTATAATTGACAAAATTAAAGACATTGTTCTACAATTTTCTGAATATTTGAAATATAACATATATATTTTTCACTCTCCAGAATTAAATTATTTAGATTCTAGTGTGAAAGAGAAGGGAAAATAAAAATATATGTTTGAATTGATGTTAAATTACCTTTTATGATGCTTCTTTGTAGCTTTAGTGATTATGGGCACTAAATCTATGAATTTTGGACTGTGATCAGCAAATATAATGATTATATAAAATATATTTTAATGTTTATATATATCAAAAACACAAAACCGATATTAATATTATAGAAATATTTTGGACATAATAAATGACAGAATATCAAAAGATAACAAGAACTGTGACAATTTTAACCCATAATAGGAAATTTGTAAAAGCAAATAGAAGCACTCTGTGCTAAAATCTTTAAAAGCAATATGACCAAATTCAATTTCACAATTTTTATAACCTACTGTAAAGCTTAAATAATTTTTAAAAAAGGAAGAAAAAAAGAAACAGGAGAAGCAAAAGCTTTGCAAAGAGTATCAGACACTAGTTTTACAGACACAGCAGATTAGCAATAGTTTACTGTGTTACAAGAGGCATGGCAGAAATTGCAGGGAACTAAATGACTCTTCTCTCTCCCTTAAGGCAATAGTGGTGCTTGTGATATTGTTTCAGCTAATGATATATTAAAGCTGAATGTGAAGGCAGGGACACCCGTCCCCCTCTGCATCCTTCAACCTTCACTGAAGTCCTTGGGAAGTTATTCAGGAAATGCTGCATGCCAATGTCTATGCCCTAAAAGCACCTAAGATGACATGCAATCCATTTCACATTGCTTCCCAGAGCCAGCCACAAGCTGGGGATTAATAGCCAAGCTGAGGAAGATCAAGGTCAGACCAGGCCTGGCTGCAGCACATTTCAGGCTGTTAGCTCCACTCAGCCAAGTGAAGAGGGCTTCAAGTAAATCACTAGGGCTTCTTTTCAGAGGGGCTTCCTACCTATCTGGCTGCATAACATGATTTAAAGTTGGCAGGCTTCTCTGTGTTGTACTGTGTACTGGAGTACCCTGGACAGGAATAAAAACAAGTAACTCCCTGACAATCCTCTGGGCAATGTTCCCATTGGCCTGTCTGAAAGGCCTTCAGTTGGAACCCTTGCATATGGAGCCATAACTCCCAAAGGAATGGCAAGGCAATTCTGTGAACACCCTCAGAGGCTTTCTCAAGGTATGTAGCTGTCTATAGTCAATGATATGAATCTTCCCCTTTCACTTCTTTTTGTATCTTAAAATCATTTTTCTCTCCTAATACAATCTTCTATGGAAGCATCTTCTTCCCCCAAAATAATAAAAGCACCTTATGTTTGCATTTATGACTCTCTTTGTTTAATCTAATTATTTTAAATGTAGATATGTATTTCTAAATTGTTCAAACTAGATGCTTCTAGGTCAGCAGTTATGCGCACTGTGGTACATTTGGATGCACTCTGAGTGTGTGTGTACACACACAGATATATCCTCATATACCACATACACAAAGACTTTTTGACTGAAACATTTGTAACTAACTGGCATCTTGCTTCTGCATTCTACCATATTTCAAGGTCCTAAAAAAATCAAGATTTTATCTTTATAGAAAATCAGAGGGGTTTTTAAGTGATTTGGTAGTTCTATTCAAAAATTAATCAAATATGCTTCAAGTTTACTTTATAGAATACTACACAGACTTGCAAGCTCTTCAGCCAAAATCTTGGAGTGTCTTTGGTCAAAACAGTTTGGGTAGAGCCCAGTGAAGCTAAGACTAATAAAACCCTGAGTTTGGCTCTGTGCTCGGTGGGAAAGGCAGGGTGAACAGATCTTAGACCAAACCCAACCACAGAAGCATTTCCTTATTAGTGCATTTTGAAAAACCATATTTTTCATAAATAAGTAAATAAATAAATAATTAGAAGAATTTAACCTATTGTGTAATATTTGATATGTAGCAAACTCAACAGGTGAAGTTTAGATAGCTTTCTCAAATGTTTCTGGCGCACCAGTTTACATTAAGTTCTACTCTCCACTCCAAACCATGGACAATCATATAAAATTATTTGGTGAAGAATTAGCCCACTACTGTGACAATTTTATAAGTATTTTGATTTCATTCAGAGGTACATTTTTTCATGCAGGACAATAAAAATTATGGTGAGCACAGGACCCTTGACAAGGATTGGCAACCGTACTCATTCAAAGGGTCCCCTGGTTTCTGCTATAATTTAGCATTATGTCTTCTACTTCCGTTTTCTCTCTTACTTTGCCTCATTAACATAATCTTTAGTCAAGTCTCCACATTTATCTTCTTGGTTCAAAAAAAAAATAAAAACAAACTACTGAAAGCACTAACGATATTCACACCATATGAAGCAAAACTTGTATTTAAAAAGTACGAGTTTTTCAAGTATGTTCAATTATTTGATCTTTGAAAAGGGAAAAAAGCATACCCTGAAGGAAAAACTGTAGGAATCAGTCTATGTGCTTTATACCTTAAGAGGGAACAAGGGAGGATGAAAAACAGAGACACAGGATTACATTAAACTCTGGGGGGCAGGGGACTCTTGTCTCTCGTGGACCAAGGGCCCCAAGTGACTCGCTCACCCTCCCTTTACTCATTCAGACATGGGAACAAACTGTTAAAGTATCACAAGGTTCATCTGCCTCCCACCATCCATGGTACTTTCCTCAGTAAACAACAGCATCTCAGTGTATCAGCTTATCCCTAGACCTTGCAACATGTCTGCATGCTCACACTCTTCTCTCTGGTGCTCACAGAGGATCCAGTTAGACCTCAGTTTTCCTATCTGGTCTCCTACAAAACATGGCCTCTTTAATAAGTGATGTGGAAAATACTTATTCACATGCAGAAAATTAAATATAGAACCATATATCTCACTAAAATAAAATTTTAAAGGATTGCAAATCTAAACATTAAAACAAAAGCATTTAATATGCTGAGAGATAAAAGAAGTAACATTATTTAAGTCATTGGTATATGTAAGGACCTTCTGAACACAATTCCAGATGCACAAGAAACAGTAGCAACAAGTGGATAATAACAAATTAAAAAGCTTCTACACAGTTAAAGTAACAACAGACTCAAAAGTCAACCTAGAGAATGGGGAAAAAATTGCAAGGTATTCCTCAAACAAAAGACATATAAATACATAAAAATAAAATCCCCCCATAAAAATCCCAGATTAAAAAATATAAAAGTAAAATGAATGGCTATTTCTCAGAATAAGAAGCACAAATAGAAAATAAATATTTGACGAAACATTTGACATTGCGGGTCATTAGAGAAATGCAAATTAAAACAACACTGGCATTCCACCCTATCCCAGAAAAAATGATCACCAACAATAAATCAAGTAACAATGCTGACAGGAATCTAGGGGAAAAGGAACCCTTCTACATTTTATACTGGAAATGTAAACTAATAAAACTACTAAGGAAATCACTATGAGTATTCCTCAAAACAAAAGAAAACAAAACAGAAAAACTAAAACCAGAAATTCCATTTGACTTAACTATTCCCTTTTTAGATGTCTTCCTGACACTGCTGAAGACATCATATTAAATTAATACATACATATCTATATGTACAGTACCACAACTCATAATAGCTAAATCTTGATTACATGCCAATCAACAGATGAACAGATAAGAAAATGTAGTATTTACACACAGTGGAGAATTATTCTACCATAAGGAAAGAAATCTTGAATAATTCATAGGAAAATGAATGAGATGATAATATTAAGTGAAATAAGCGAGATATATAAGCTTAAATACTGCATGATTTTTCTTATGTGATA